GTGATTGGCCACTTCGACTCCGCGAGCATCCCTTGTCAGTTTCATGAAACTCAGATCTTATGACGTTTCACGCTGCGGCTCTCCTTTGAATTTCCAAATATTGATTTCGGTAGGATTCAGTTTTGCAACATATTTCCAGATGTGTCAATGAATCAGGATAACGAAGTCGGGGATGGGACAACATCCGTTACAGTGCTTGCCGCCGAACTCCTCAGAGAGGTCAGTTTGAGTGCTCATTAGCCTATACAGGTTGCTTATTATTAGCGTACGAGGATCTTTTTCCTGTTGTCCCACTTCAGTCGAGCAAAGTCAAAGTTGTCAATTTGGTGAAAGTTGGCCCAATTATTTGGATGCTTTCGAGAATAACATATCGCTTTGCACTGTATCCGCGCTTATGAGCAGAGTGTCAAATAACTCCCTTGATTGCTGTTTTGATTTACTGGATCAGTTTTAGCGCATAGTACTTTCTTTTCCAAATCAGATCGATGAGCGAATGAATATCTTCGTTTGCATTCAGTGTGGCGTTGTCATCATCATTGCCCTTTCAATAAGTTATCACTCACCTCATATAGGCGGAGAAGTTGGTGAATCAACGTGTGCATCCTCAGACGATCATATCTGGATATCGACGAGCTTTGACAATTGCTCAAGATGCTCTTCGTCAGTCGTGTGTCAGCTCAGGGTATGCTCTTATGTATTTAACATACTTTTCCCTTTCTGATTCCATGCAGCTTATGATATTCATCAATACTAAGCTCTTTTCTGCAATACTAGCCTAGAACTTTACATAGATTTGTATCTTACCATTCGCGGATACATAAATTCAGTTCAGCCATCCTTGCTTTTCGTCGCTTTTCAAAAAATTCTGTCAATGCTCCGTTTCTATGTTCGCTTGAGCGCGAACCTTATCCGTAGCTAGATTTTAGCCTACTATCATCACCATAAGGGCACCAGAACGTATTCCCTTTTCAGAGAAAATCTAGAGGAGGATCTACTGAGAATTGCTCGCACTACTTTGGGCTCAAAGATTCTGAATCAACATAAGGATCATTTTGCCAAGCTTGCTGTTGACGCTGTCCTCAGACTAAAAGTACGCAGATAGATTGATGTTGAAATATCCTCGACAATTATTATGCGACTTTAGAGCTCAGGAAATTTGGATGCCATACAAATTATCAAGAAACTTGGGGGATCGTTGAACGAGTCCTATCTTGATGAAGGTCTGCTCTGCTTTTGCAAATCGCTGAGTTCCAAGTGCATTCATTTACAGGGTTTCTTCTCGAAAAGCTCCCGGGCATGTATCAACCTAGAAGAGTTGAGAAGGCTAAGATACTGATCGCCAATACTCCCATGGATACTGACAAGGTTGCGTATTTTTGAGCATGAGATACATCATTATTAATCTACATATAGCAACTCTTTTTCGCTGGTGCTTTTGCTTTCAAATGATTGCCATTTTACAGGTGAAAGTTTTTGGTTCAAGAGTACGTGTTGACTCTGTTGCCAAGGTAGCAGAGCTGGAAGCGGCTGAGAAACTCAAAATGAAAGAAAAGGTGCGTAAAATTCCGCAAGTAGACGAAATCTTGTTTTTTGAAATCATATTCAGGTGGACAAAATCCTTGCGCATAATGCAAATGTATTTATCAACAGACAACTTATCTATAATTATCCTGAACAGTTGTTTGCCGATGCTGGTGTCATGGCTATCGAACATGCCGATTTTGAGGGCATTGAGAGACTAGCGCTGGTCTTAGGTAAGCATTGTTTGAACATGAAACCGAGTTAGGTCCGTCGTATTGTACCTTACCTCTTTTTCCAGGAGGTGAAATTGTTTCGACTTTTGATACACCCGAAAATGTCAAGTTCGGATCATGCGATCTCATTGAAGAAGTGATGATCGGAGAGGATCGTCTCCTGCGTTTTAGTGGTGTACCGCTTGGTTAGTGAATTTTACTTTTCACTTTTTTACTTTTCATAGACAGTAAGGCATTACTATCTGCATTACGTATATAAAACTAGAAATCAGTTTGATATTTATATTTTGTTTCACAACATCTGTGTTTACTGAACATATAGTTACCTCGTCAGAGTAGAGGATGTCTCTACCACTTGATCACAAAATTATCTAGATTCTTTCAGGTGAGGCCTGCTCCATTGTTCTTCGTGGTGCTACTCAACAAATATTGGAAGAAGCGGAAAGATCGCTTCATGATGCACTTTGCGTCCTTATTACTCATGTGAAGGAATCGAAAACTGTGGCTGGAGCAGGAGCATCTGAAATCATGATGAGCACAGCTGTCATTGTTGAAAGCCAGAAGGTAAATTGAATCTTTTTGCTTGAACAATCTGTACTAGCCAAAGGTTTCAGGTTGCTGGAAAGGAGGCTTTAGCAGTGGAGTCATTTGGACGTGCTCTAGCCCAACTTCCTACCATCATTTGTGACAATGCCGGCCTTGATAGTGCTGAGCTTGTTACCAGACTGAGAGCAGAACATGCAAATGGACACCATAATATGGGCATAGGTACG